TAATTAAAGCTCCTAAAGACAAGAACCTAGTCTGTCGTGCTCACCCATGTGTCCCCAGGACCTACCATAGTGCCCGGCACATGCTCACTGAATATTTGTTGAACAGAATAATGTTCTGCAAAACCATAAAATGCAGTAATCATTCAAGAAAGACAACACTTTGGTCAGCATAGCTTCAGTATTAGCTTTCATTCTAATTCTTTAAAAATCAGTAATCAGGGGTCAGCGCTGTGGTGTAGCAGGTAAAGCTGCCACCTCCAATGCAGGCATCCAATGTGAGCATCGGCTAGAGTCCTCCCTGCTCCACTTCCAGTCCAGCTCCCTGCTATCGTGCCTGGGAAAGAAGCACAAAATGGCCCAAGTACTTAGGTCCCTGCACCCACTTGGGAGACCTGGAAGAAGCTCCTGGCTTCAGCCTGGCCCAGCCCCAGCCATTGTGGCCATTTGGGGAGTAAACCAGCGGATGGACGATCTCCCTCTCTGTTTTTCTGTCTTTAAAATAAATCTTTTTACAAAATCAATTATTGGGAGTCAGCACTGGGCATAGTGGGTAAAGCCGCAGCCAGCAGTGCTGGTATCCCATATGGGCGCCGGTTCGAGTCTGCTCCGCTTCTGATCCAGTTCTCTGCTATGGCCTGGGAAAGCAGCAGCAGATGGCCCAAGTCCTTGGGCCCCTGCACCGGTGTGGGAGACCTGGAAGAAGCTTCTGGCTCCTGGCTTTGGATCGGCACAGCTCCAGCCATTGCAGCCAGTTGAGGAGTGAACCAGTGGATAGAAAATCAATCTCTCTCTCTCTCTGCCTCTCCTTCTCTCTCTATGTAACTCTCACTTTCAAATAAGTACATAAATCTTTTTAAAAAACTAATTATCAGTATATGGTATATCCCAATTAACTAGAACTCCTCATTTTTCAATCATTCCGGATATGGAGATGTTTACTATAAATCCCTTTCTCTAAGTAAAGTGTATTATTTGTATGAAACAAAAGATATTCATTCAACAAATATTCACTGAACACCTTCTGGGCACCAAGCACTGTGCTAGGAGTTAAGGATACACTGTAAACTGTCCCTGCCTTCAAGCTGCTTTCAAGTCTAGGACAATTTTTTCTCAACTGGGTTCCTCCTCCAGTTGGATAGAAGTTAATTTATTGCCCACAATGCATGCCCTAGGGTATTACAGCTTAATTCTCTCCTGGTTGAGAAAGACTGGTCTAGAGAACCACAGAAGTTAAAAGATAATTATAATGCAATATGATAATAAGGTTTCTTTTAGGTAGGAGCAAGTTCAGTTGTTAAACCTAGATGTGTATGAACTGATAGGAATCAAGACACACAGACTATTTATGAAGCTTCTGTGAATACAAAATTACTGTGCTATACACATGCAAATATATCTCTACAGTAATAAAGTCGATATTTGCCAGACTCAGTAGTGTCATGCCAAGGTTATCAGAAAAGTGAAAACAAAAGAAAAGTTAAATTAATCTGATAATTTAAGGAGGAAACCAAAAACCTTCTTGTTTCTGGAAAAAAAAGAAAGCAATAACCTGAATTTCTTTGTTAATTGTCTCCACATATTGTTTCATGAGATTGGCCTTACCCTGGTTTCAAAGTAATAAATTGCCTACCTATTTCATCAACTTTTATTTTGCATTTCCCATCTCATTTTGAATTTTCATTCTTGCTTATATAGTCTAATTTCTTTCCAATACTGGATGTCTTTGACTGCTAAGATGTTTTTTGTATGATATTATTACCATGTGCTGCATGCTTATGGAACCAAAGCAATTTGAGAATTAGAGATATTAATTTACTACAGTTTCTCATACCTACAATTAAGCTTTCATTATCAATTGTGTAGAAATATAAAACTGGTAAATATTACTCTCCAACAAGCTAAACTGACAGCATCCAGTTGGCCAAGTTCCTTTTCAAATTTATGAAGAAATATCTTATTTAAATCTTTAGCATGAAATAATATAAGCCCAAAAGAAGGGAGGATTCTTGTTTAGACTTTCAATAAATCTTTTAACCCATGTGAAAATATAATCACTGGAAATTTTATTAAGTTTAAAAGACAACAGAATAACTTAAAAGTTTGTGATGCTTAAGTCTCAACTAGTAAAGACTTCTGATCAAATATGCCTTTGAAGGAAACAAATTGTACAGATGAAGCTATTATTATTTATTTTTTTAATTTATGGAGATGTGGACTGGGAACATGAGGTGTTTTAATGCATTCAGAAATATCCAACTCAAATCTTTTAATACACCTCCTACATGCCTAAATCCTAATATGCTATATACCAAATTCATCCATTTCTTTCTACCTAAAGACTGTCATTAACTCATCAAAAAGGAAGGAATGCAATTATTAATGGCAAAGATGTCAAGGATATATCTTTAAAAAATATAATGAATCACTATTTCTTTTAGCTTGGAAGTGGAGAACCTAGGGAATTATATGTTAGCATTTTTAAAATGACCTAGCAAAAATAACTGAGCTATGAAAGATAAGACTCCTAAGAGATTTTTATTTGCCACAATGAGTTTAAAATATAAAGTCCTTTTCTAACAAGGCAGCTCTCTAGTTTTCAATGACCAACAAGTATAATCAACATCACTGTAATTTATTTCCCATTCAAAGCCAATTTCAAAAACCTCTAAGTACACCAAAATAAACAAATAATTTTGAAAGGAATCCAAAACCCTATCTATCTCTAAAATATTAAAACAATTATAAGATAGCACACAACTTGATTACATGTTGCTGTGCCAGTCTCAAGTCTCACCTAAGTCTTTAATTGTAGCCTTCTATTGATTCAAAAGGCAGTGCCCCTGAAACAATCTTTGCCATGCAAAAGATAAGGACAGCATGTGCTTTATTGATTTAAGGAATCTAAAATTTTGCCCCTACCACAAAAAACATAAAGTCATGCTTAGCAATGAATATTTGATAATGTTTTGCATTTAGTCCAATGGTTTGCAGTTTAATTTCTTGCCTTAGGCCCAGGGCTCAGCTACAACCCCAAAGAACCTTCCAGCTTACTGTACTGCTGCAAATTTCCAGGACTTACCATAGTCATGGTTGTGCAGAAAAACGTGAGCAGTTGGACATTCCAGCTTAAACAATGAGGTCAAAGCTCCCTTCAGTGTAAGCGAAAGTGATCCTCTGCAGAGATCTTGGTTGGGGATGCAAAGTACTAGTCTCAAACCTGCAGGCTGGCACTTCAACAACTGCTGCAAATTCTACTGCATGCCCAGCCTCTCTGGGCCAGCACTGCTTAATTACTAGACTCTGATACAATGCAGATCATTCACTCTTAATCAAAAGGCAAGCAAACGGGGCCTTTAGACCAGTACCTGGGATGCTGAGTTTCAAATATCCACATCCTTTTTTAAAAAATGGGATTTCAATAGCTCAGTTTTAAGTTAATCACGTTTATGTGATCCAGAGCTCAGTCGTTTTCCAACATGGGTATGCCATATGAAAAGATCACCTTTTTCCTAAATACTATATTTAGCTCTCCTTGTCATTTTTCCCTGTCACCACCAAACAACACTCTAAGATGACAAGAATCTATGAGAACAGACCCATGAAGTACAATGCTCTTTTAGTCTCAGGATGAATTTGAGAAACATATTTTAGTGACTTGCTTTAGCAAAGTATCCAGTACAAGCCATTTTTATTAATTTCAAGCTCCTTTATAGGTACACCTTCAAATGCTTGGTGGTACAGGTTAATGATCTGCTCCAATTTCATATGGCATGGTTCTAGGTAAGGTTCACATTTAGAAATACACTAACATACCACTATTTTGATAAAGATATCCTCAAAAGGGATAAACAAGTTATTACTTTCAACTAGGGTATATTTGTGAAAGTTTCAAATACAGGGAAAAACTGAGAGCAAATTCATCTGAAATATGAAAAGTGCATTAGTAACGCTCTGATTCAGGAATAATTGCACGAAAAGAATGAAATCAGCAAGTTCTCCAACATGTGTTCTAAGGGGGAAAGGGGCTAGAAAGAGCCTGGCACTCAATCTTTTTTTTTTTTTTTTAACTACAGAAAAATCAAAATTTGCAGATGAGCCCTTTCTTTCACATCATTGGCAAAAATAAAATCCTATTCCCACCACCTCCTCTCGAAATTAAGGGAGTTGCTACAAATGCCAGCATGGAAGTAAATGGCCCCTTTTCTGCTCCATTCTTAACATACCCTCTTAGGAGTAAACAGGCTACTCAAAAAAAAAAAAAAAAAAAAGCAGCCTCAAACCGAGTTTCCATGGACCAAAGTCCCAGGGCAATGAAATTCCCTCTCCTGGGGACTTGGCAGGGGGGAAACGTGGACGGAACAGTGCAGCCGCAGCCTGCCTTCCCTCCGTGGGTTCCATGTCGTGGGCGTTCAGTTGTCCCCGAGGTTTCACACTGGCGCTCGGTGCAGCGGCGGTGCAGCCACCCCGCTTCTCCACCTGCACCCAGCCCGCTTTTACGATGCCCTCAAGGTAGCTTCGTAGGCTGTATCTGGAAAGTTTGCCCTGCCTCTGGTCACCAGCTACCCGCTGGGACGAGCCCCAGGTAAGAGCTGAGTCCTGTCCTAGCCTCCTGCTCCCTCGGCCCCCAGCTTCTCCTTTGGGCCACAGTGACAGTTCTAGTTTTATGTCCATGTGCTCCTGGCAGAGGAAACAAAAGAAAGCTTCCTCTCGGATCATAAAACGCCATCTTCGACTAATTGGCCAATTGAGAGGCGCCCGGGTCGGTCCCCCCAGCACCCAGCTCGAGGGCGGCCTCCAGCGCCGGGGAAATTGTCCTGGGGGTAGCGGTGGGAGACCCCGACCAGCTTCCCCGCCCCGGCCGCCTGGGCAAAGTGTTCAGGTCAAAAGGAAAAAGGGTGTTGGTGTCTGCCAAAGACGCTGCTCCCCTCTCAGGAAATTGTGTTGAGGGACCCGGCGAGCACGCCGAGCGGCACGCGGGGAGCCGCAGCGAGAGTACTTACAAAACGACTGAAGGTCCGGCGGAACATCGCGTCCAAGGCTGTCCGGCGCTGGGCTGGGCTCTCCTGGGCTATCTGGGAAGGCGCCGTCCACAAAACACACTGCGGCGTGGGCCAGCGGCTCAAAGCGGGTAGCGAGGAGGGCTGCCCGGCCGCCCGCCCGCCCGTCGCCTGCCCTCCTTGGCTCTTCGCGCTTCCCCGCCCCCTCGCCCCCGTGCCGCCCGCGCCCTAGCGCCCGCGGCCCCCGCGGCCCCCGCGGCCGCCGCCCCGCCTCACTCACGGCCCGCCCGTCCCGGGGGCGGCGGCCCCGTTGCGCCCCCTTATTTAGCCCCCAGCAGCCCGCAGCGCCAGCGCGAAAGAGCTCGGCGCGCGGGGGAGGGATGGCGGAGCCGCGCTAGGTTCCTCCTGCGGGGAGGGGGGGGCGCCCCGATCTCTCCGCCAGAGGGGGGCTCGGCACCCCGCTCGCAGTCCGTACTCTCCCCAAGCGCAGTGCCACCACAGCTGCCTCCCCCGCTGGCCTCCGAAGCCACCCCACTCAGGACACGAGGGACCAATCCTCCCCACCTCGCCTCAGCCCGCCGCTACTGCCCTATCTCCTGTCGGAAGCGACAGCGTCCCTCACCCGGCCCCTAACTCGTCCGCTGCGCCGCTTCACTCGCAGCTTCTCCTCAGCCCGCGCTCTCGTCCGGCACTCGGGCTGGGGAGCCTCAGGGAAGCCCGCCCGCCCTGAGCCCGCGAAACGGCCGGGCTCGCAGCTTCCCGGCTGAGAGGAGGAGCCGGGCTCAGAGCAAGGAGTAGGGACAGGCAGAGCGCTGTGGAGACCCCAGCGAGGGCGGGGTGGGGCGGGGCGCGGGCGGGGGGAGTAGTTATGAAAGCGGCCCCCTTCTCATCCCTGAAAGGTGAGTTTTCCGTTCCCACCTACGCAGCTTTCCCTCCTCTAGTTCTTTCTCTCGTTTTGCCTCCGCACCTAAGCCTTCTTACTTCCACCTTCTCTGTGAGGTTGTAAAGTCGGGCTTTGTGTCGTTGCTGCTGCGCAGCGGGGCGGGATTTCCCAGTCACTCCCCCCCCCCCCGCCGCCGTCGCCACTACCCCAACACCCCCCCCAACACGCCTTCGTGCTTCTCCCAAAGCAGCCTGGGAGTTGTAGTCCAACCATTCCCCTACTCCTCGTAAAGCAGGCTGGGAGCTCCCCCACACGCCCGTCAGGGATTTGCCCAGAGAGTCGAAGGAGGAAGCGGCTGAAACCGTGGCGCCGAAATGCGGTTTTCTACACTGGCTGGATGCGGCGGCCAGAAGCGCTCAGAAGATTCCTACCAGTGGGAAATGAGAGAAAGATAACTTCTACAAAGTCCCGAATGCAGGGAGACTTCCCTAGAACGTGAATTTTGCGCGCCGGGAAACCTTCTAAGCCCTTGGCCCCTTCGTAGAACTGAAATTTGAGAAACTTGAAAAATGAAAGTTGGGTTTAGAATTGCACTGAGACTAGGCTTGCCCACCCCCAACCCCAGCCCCACTCTTTGCGCCGCCCTCTAAGGCAGGGCCTGAGGCTGTTGGAGAAAAACTTGCAGATTCTTCTGTTAAAGTGAAGGAAAAAAAAAAAGTGAAGGGAGTTCAAAGACCTTTACTGGAGGCTTCCGCCACGCCACAATCTGCTGCCAGTCTGGAGCTGAGGACAAGGCCCAGATACACCACAGGCCTCCTCTGAGGGCATGAAGTGTCTTTACTGCTGGGCACAGGCGCTTCTCCTTTTCCCTCAGAGGTCTAGAGTCGTTTCAATAAACTTTTCCTGCGTATTTTCTTTGTACCAGGCACTGTGTAGAGGCTGAATGCAGAGATTTCTTAAAAGATCTTCCCAGCAGGCGATGACAATCTAGTTACAGACTACAAACAGAGGAAAACGAAGCCTTAAAATGAAATGACTGCTAGAGTGGAAGTTCAAAGTACTGCAGAAAATAGGGGCAAGCATAGCATCTGAAAAGGGGGTCTGGGCAACTTTCCCAAACGTTCTGGAGATTAAACAGGGCCTTGAAATACGGGAAGACTGTAGTGGAGCTGATGAACCCAGGTGGCAAAGTCGGAGGTGAAGGGAAAGGTCATTGAGAAAGTGCAGAAACCTCACAGCTCTCGCAGAAACCCGGGATAACTGCGCGGGCGCGGTTCAAATAAAAGTGGAACCCAAAGGGATCTTCAGAAATGTGTTATGAAGTTGAAACTTGATTCTGTAACCAAGAGGAGCCTATCCCCCAAAAAAGTGCAAGTGCTGGAGACCTAAGGTTTGTTCCCAAACTACCCTAACTGCCAACAAGTAAAACCAATTGGTTCCAATTCTTCCCCTATTATGGTTCCTTCTGCATTTAATGATTTTAGGATTTATGCTAAATGTTTATCAATCAAATATTAGGATATCTTATTGACAAAATGGATCTAAAGTTTTTCCTACAAAGATTGATTTTAAAAATATTTTTCTGGCTTTATTGAACACAGCAACTACTGTAATTTCATTCATTTTTTTTTTTTTTTGGAAAACTAGTATGAGGCACGCAGTAATCTAGATACTGAAATTGGGGGGAGGAAGAGGTTACTGTCACACTTTCTAGACTTACGTTTAAGGCAAACTAACATAAAAAAATTAGTGCCCTGATTTGTTTTGTCAGTATTTTTTCAGACTTGCCCATTCTCACATTGCAGCAGAGTAAACGCAGGGGTTTTAGAACTTCCAAGATACAGCAATATTATTGGCCCTATTTTCATTTGCTGTTATAATTCTACTCTTTGTCCTGATTTATTTCAGCACAACACCTATACTCATGTGTCCAAACTAATTTGCTTGACTATAAAAATGCAATTCCATACAAAGCAAAATTTGCTCAGGAAAACATGAAATTTATGCAAGGTGATTTTTTCCACATCCAAATTTAACCTGAAATTAGAGCTACTCTCACACATATCCTTTAAAGTCACCGTTTGTGAGGTATTCCTAAAACAAGAAGAAATTATTTTTGTTCTTTTCAGTGCCTCTTCAGTTTCCAAAGAAAACCCAGGTGGTGTTAAAAAAAAAAAAACTTGCTGATGAGTATGAAAAGCAGACCATCAGACCATCATTTTCATTTGGCCAACTCCATAAACAGATCTGCAAAAATGAACTTCCTCCTGATGAAACTGGCAGAACCTGTGGCACAACAGAACCTTCTGAATTAGATGATTTGCAGCAGAAGCCAGTCTCCAGAAGGTAAGAATTTAGAGTAATCTTCTGTCTTTATTAGCAACCTGAGCAGAGATAATGCTTGCTGCCTTGTGGAGGAAAAGGAGAGAGTTCTTTGGCCCTTTCAATACTGTTGTCTGATTTCTATACAATATATTTGGGAGCTCAGATTGCCCTGCTGCCACTAGTGCTCCTTGTGCTTCCTACCTACCATCTACCTCAACTTGTAAGAAATCTCACTGTGGCAAATGGGCATAACAGCCACTAGGAAACAAGGTGTGGGCCACAATTGTGAAGGAGGAAAGCAAACTGCTTCTGAGGTCACTGGGTTGTTCAGCAGTTTAGTCATCTAGTGGGAGTAGAACACTGAGGGAAAGGAATCATTTCCAATACCCAAAAGAAAAAAAAAGGAGCAAACAAAAACTGAATCTTGTACAACAGCATCTAAATCACCCTGTCTTCCTCAAACTGATCTCCAACTTTCCGTGATGAGCTTTCAAACATATTATGGGGCCGGCGCTGTGGCATAGCAGGTAAAGGTGCTGCCTGCAGTGCCGGCATCCCATGGGCACCGTTTCGTGTCCCAGCTGCTCCACTTCCAATCCAGCTCACTGCTATGGCCTGGGAAAGCAGTGGAAGGTGGCCCAAACTCCTTGGGCCCCTACACCCACATGGGAGACCCAGAAGAAGCTCCTGGTTCCTGGATCAATCCAGCTTCAGCTGTTGTGGCCATTTGGAGAGTGAACCAGGGGATGAAAGACTCTCTCTCTCTCTCTCTCTCTCTCTCTCCCCCTCTCTCTCAGCCTTTGCCTCTCTGTAACTCTGCCTTTAAAATAAATAAATAAATCTTTTTTAAAAAAAAAAACACATATATTGTAAGACTACAAGATGTTTTGCTCATGTGAAATTTCTTTTCCCAAAACTATCAAGGCTAGGATTGATGTTTATTTGAGATCAATTTTACCAGTGTCTTCCAAAGCACTGGCCCTCTTCAAGTCACTATCTTCACTTCAACTAGAGGAATCTTGGAAGACAAATCTGATAAAATCATGCCCTTCTTTATGACGTTTCAATAGTTTCTTATTGTTCTTAGGGTAAGTCCAAACTCCTGCCTTAATATCACTTAGAAGGCCCCCAATTCTCTGACGCCTGCCTTCATCTGCAGCTTCTCTCTGGCACTCACCTGGCTTCACCACCTTTCAGTCCTTGAGTTTCCAAAGTTCCTTCTCTCCAGACAGCTTTTACAGCTACTGGAATGCTTGAACCTGCCTTTCCTATGCATCCTTCAGGTCTCAGCTTAAATGTCACTTCCTCAGATGAGATCAGGGCTCCCTGTTATTGTGCTCCAAATAGCCCATATTAATTACATCCCACGGTACTGACAGATGAGGTTAGTAATCATGGAGAATGGCAAAAGTCCAAGGGGACTGAGGATGATCTAATATTTTTTTGCTTCTCGAAACAGGGAAGATGTATTCTAGTAATTATGAAATTAAAGGCAGGCCAGATTCTAGAAGTGACCATTAAAAGAATGGGTTTTTTAAATCACAGTAGAAGGGAAGGTAGAGAAGAGTTATAAAGGATATAAGAATCTTAAATCTTTATCTCTAATAATAATAAGTCAATATATATCAGTATGATTATTTTATTTAGACATAAGGAGATAAATAGCAGAAGAAACATTTAAGATAATGCTAAGTATTTGCCTCTGCAAACAGGATTAGAGTGCCAAAGAAAGGTATAAGGGATGTATATTCGTTTTCTGTATAAGCTTTATAATTTTGAATTTTTAACTATGTACATGCATTAATTTAAAAAAGAATTATGGAGCCAGCACCGTGGCTCACTTGGTCAATCCTCCGCCTGCGGCACCGGCATCCCATATGGGCACCTGGTTCTAGTCCCAGTTGCTCCTCTTCCAGTCCAGCTCTCTGCTGTGGCCCAGGAGGGCAGTGGAGGGTGGCCCAAGTCCTTGGGCCCCTGCACCCGCGTGGGAGACCAGGAAGAGGCACCTGGCTCCTGGCTTCGGACTGATGCAGCTCTGGCTGTAGCGGCCATCTGGGGAGTAAACCAACAGAAAGAAAACCTTTGTCTCTGTCTCTGTCTCTGTCTCTCTCTCTCACTGTCTATAACTCTACCTGTCAAATAAATTTAAAAAATAGTTTTTGGGGCAGGCATGTGTTGTGGTGGGTTAAGCCACTGCTTGTGATACTGCGCCGCATAGCTGAATGCCTGATCCAATCAGGCTGCTCTGCTTCTGAGGCAATTTCCTGCTAATGTACCTGGGAAAAAAGCAGAGGGTGGTTCAAGTATTTAGGCCCCTGCCACCCATGTAGAAAACCAGGGTGAGTTTCTGGCTTCTGACTGGCCCGGCCCTGGCTGTTGCTGCCATTTGGAGACTGAACCAGCAGATAGGTCTCTTTCTGTCTCTCTCTCTTCTTCTGTCTCTGTCATTCTGCTTTTCAAATAAATAAAATAAATCTTTTAAAAATTAATCTGAAAGTACTAAGTAGCATTTGGAAACACAGGAAGTAGGAGAGTATTCAAAACAAGGAAATGATAAAGCTATAGAAGTGAAAATATTCCATTAATTAGTAAGTAGACCTGTCTAGAGGAACAATGGATTCATGTTGAAAAAAGTAAATATGAGAAACGGTGACTTGGTCAGCCCTTGCCCTGACTGTTGATGAACAACTTAATACGTTATCCCTCTTAGTATTTTTTTTGTTTGTTCTACTTAATACTTTTGGTTGAATACTGTAATCAATACACAGTTATTCTCAAGTGTTGAAACTTAAGTGAAAAGTGATCGCTGTTAAATATAAGAGTGGGAATAAGAGAGGGAAGAGATGTGCAATTCGGGACATGCTCAAGCTGACTTACCTCAAACGGTAGAGTTAGAAACATACCAGGGGATTCCAATTCAATCCCATCAAGGTGGCATGTACCAATGCCATCTCACTAGTCCCAGTGATCAATTTCTGTTCACAATTGATCATAATGATAGGACTAAGAGCCAAAGGGATCACATAAATAAGACTAGTGTCTGCAAATTCTAGCTGATAGAATAAAAAAGGGAGAGAACGATCCAACATGGGAAGCAAGATACACAGCAGACCCATAGAATGGCAGATGTCCTAAACAGCACTCTGGCCTCAGAATCAGCCCTTAAGGCACGCAGATCTGGCTGAAAAGCCCATGAGAGTATTTCAGGCATGGAAAGCCAAAACACTCTGGCAAAAAACAACAACAACAACAACAACAAACCCTAAATGAAAGATCTCCACGAGTGAGATCCCAGTGGAAAGAACAGGTCATCAAAGAAGGAGGTACCTTTCTCTGAAGGGAGGAGAGAACTTCCACTTTGACTACAACCTTGCCTAAATATGATCACAGTTGGTGAACTCAAAAGGCTTCCATAGCCTTGGCAACTCAGGACAAGAGCCTAGGGTGATTACTGATGCCATAAACAAGAGTGTCAATTTGTTAAGTCAACAACAGGAGTCACTGTGCACTTACTCCTCATGAAGGATCTCTGTCCTTAATGTGCTGTACATTGTGATTTAATGCTATAACGAGTACTCAAACAGTATTTTGCACTTTGTGTTTCTATGTGGGTGCAAACTGTTGAAATCTTTACTTAATATATGCTAAACTGATCTTCTGTATATAAAGAGAATTGAAAATGGAATCTTGATGTGAATGGAAGGGGGGAGGGAAAGGGAAAGGGGAGGGTTGCGGGTGGGAGGGAAGTTATGGGTGGGGAGCCATTGTAATCCATAAGCTGTACTTTGGAAATTTATATTCATTAAATAAAAGTTAAAAAAAAGAAAAAAGTAAATGACATGAGATTTTATTTTCCATTCTTGGAAAGCTACTGGAATTTTCATTCCATCAAATGAGAGCCTACACCAAGAAAGAGGAAGACATGGGATCCAGAAAACTGGTGATGAACATGAAAGAGAGGGAAGGGGATTCTCTGGATGGTACTGAATGTTCAAGGTAGACAATTGTGTGGCATAACTAGAGAAGCCATAAAGGAGCAGGAAGATAGAGGGACCAAGGAGAGATGGTTCTAGGAAAAATAAAAAAAAGAAAACAGATTACCAATGTGTTTGACCACACAAAGAATAGTGTTCAGAAAGGTTTTACAATTATATGAGGAAATTAATTAATAAACACTTAGAAAATGAAGCTAACAAATAAATAAACAAGACAGTTTTACAATCTAGGAAACCACAAGGTTGTTTATGAAGTAAATGACTCATAATAAAACATTCGTTGGCTCCACAGTGAGAGACATTTACATAGACCTAACAACTAAAACATTGTCATTGATTTACTAAGTTAGGACTGCTTTGTAGGATGAAGGGAACAGGAGTTGGAGATGACTGTATTGTGAGAAATATAAATCTTTGTCTTCCAGAAAAAGAAGGAAATGCCACTTATCTAAAAATTAAAAGATCAAGAAATAGCAGCATAAGTATCATACATAGAAATGCAGAAGTAAATACAGGAAAAAACAGCTACAATTATTAAAAGCAATTCTTCCAGTTGTGCAGAGCAGCAGTTAGGAGAGAGTAAAGCATATGTACTTTTCCTTTATAAGCTTTTTAAATCTCTTTAACATTTTACTAGAAATATGTATTTTTTAAGAATAAAAAGTAACACAAAGAGTAAATAGCATTGTGAATTGGCAGACAGGAAGGAGGATATTCAAACCAAGAGAAATAGCAAAGACATGAAATAGGCTGGGGTGGCATTGTGGTGCAATGGGTTACTACACCACTTGGGATGCCTGCATTCCATATCTGATTGCCAGTTTGAGTCTCAGCTACTCCGTGTTTCCCATCCAGTTTCCTGTTAATGTTGGGAGGCAGCAGGTG